GTCTTTAACATACTAACTACAGTACTTAGACTACTTAGCTAGGGGGAACCAACCAACCAAGTGACCAACTAACCACTGAACTAACTAACAAACTAATCCTAATGCATATTAATCGCTAAGCTAATTATCTAGGAAGCTAACTAACCGGCAATCATCTGGCAAAAGCCAATTTCATCATGTGTTCTTTATTACATCTTAAGTCCATTTAGTACTACAATTTCGTGATGTTTGTGATTTCCCTTGTGCGCTTAATCATTAATTAAGCTTTCGTACTAACCTGGTGCAATTACTGAATAGCTTCCGTAACAGGTTGTTATAATTTAGAACTAGTGACTAGCAATGCTGAAAAATCAGTATTCGGAGAATTCTGAATTTCTCTTCCGTTGTTTCTGATATCTTCAGTAATTATATTGTAACCCATAATTAATGCATTTCTTCAGTGATTCCTGTAATGCACACAAATAAATAAAACATACTAGCTTGTAAACTTGAAACTCTAACTATTATCAACCATACAGGTCAAAGGCAAGTCAGGAGAACTAAACTACTGATCTTCCGAAATTCTCCCACTTGCGTTAGAAGTAATGCAATAAGAGACTAATTGGAAGAATTGCTGCGTTAGGCGTGCTGTGCTACTGAAGAGCTAAATCAGACAATATGTGCAAACCTCGTTTACCAAACGAGTGATTTTAGCTAAGACCATGTTAAAAACACGAAGTAAAGTTTTGTAGTTTATATTTTGTGTTGTTGTTTTTGTGCTATTTCAACAGTGAACTTCACGGCAAAAAAATATGAACACCTTCATTGCTGTATTGCACAACTTACGCGACGTTGTCGCTATCAGGTCTGATAAAAACCTCAAAACTGGATCACAAAACGGATAGGAAATGAGCCCGAGAGTAGCTCGGCAGAAGCGAAACATCTGAATCGAGCATTTTGATTATATAAGGGATGGACCATTTTATTTTGGGAGGAGGGTTGGGCAATTACCCCCCCAAAAAATTCCTGCACAGCAAAAGTAGAGAAAAAAAATCGTGCAAAGCTTACTCACTCACTCACTCACAAGCAAAAGGTGAAAAAAAATTATTGCACAAACTCAAGACGGAAAAAAAATTAGAGCTCAGAAAAATTGCCCCCCCTCCCAAAAAATAAATAAATAAATAAAATGGTCCATCCCTAAGTTCGGCATACATTCCAAACAGTTTAGTTTGTCGAAAGTTCTACAAGCTCTGCAGTGTGTTACGCGACTCTCGGAGGGGTCACGATTGCTACATAGAGAGATTGGTGAATTCAACTGAGTTTGCTTTTCATTATTATTAACTTTTTGAGGTTAAAAGCCAAGAATCATTTGTAAAAGTCAATTTCCCTACATGAAATTAGTGTAGTTGATTAAAATTGGAGGGAATTATACATGCCACTTTCGACAAACACTGCGGCGGGACCTGAGCACTTTAACAAGCTGCCGTCAGGCAGGCTCCTGTAAAACGAGCCAAGAGGAAACTGGGAAGAAAAGGCATGAGAAGTTCACAGGCTCTCCTTCTTTTTCCGTCTCCCCAGTTTCCCTCGGCTCGTTTCACTCGACCCAGTTCGCCAGCTTTGTTTTCGTCATTTTGGTCATAAGAGAGTCTTACGGTTGTATTTCTTGTGCTGTTGGCGGGGCCGAGTAACGAGGATCTAATGTGAGAATGTTGGTGAGAGCTTTCAATGGATAGAACTAATGGGACCGGACAATCTAACTCCGCGTGACTCTGTCGACGATCAAAGTAAGTCTTTATTCTATAAGTAACGCCACAGGAAGCCCAGGCTCTGTACACGAATTAATATTCAATGTTGTTGTTCATGGCGGCGTTTTGAATATTTACAGCAAATGTATGAGAAACTCACGAAATACGTTCTAAATGCTATCTTTTCGACGGAACCTAATTAAAACTGACTTACATTGTGCAAGTGTTTTGTTATTTTGATGTTTGGGTGTTCCTGGAGCCAGTTTAAAGCCATTTAGACGAGGTTTGCTTTTTCAGTTGACCGTCCATTATAAATAATTTAAAGGCCGGCGACAATTATGTGAGAACGGATCCAATGGTCCGCACAAGAAGCTCAATAAATTCCATAAAAATGCGCCAATCTCCTCAAAATTACCTTCATTACAGACGTCCATGCTCTTAGCTTCTGTTCGCTACTACTACATCTCATTTGAAATTTTGTCACAATGTCGCGGTCGTTAAGCACGAATTTCAAATGAGATGTCTCAGACGCCGGGGTTACGCATAACGCGAAAGAAAATATAAAAGACAAGAGCTCGAACACTAGCGTTTCTCGAGCAAATAAAGTCAACGTTGGAAACCTAGTAGTAGCGAACAGAAGCTAAGAGCATGGACGTCTGCAATGAAGGTAATTTTGAGGAGATTGGCGCATTTTTATGGAATTTATTGAGCTTCTAGTGCAGACCATTGGATCCGTTCTCACATAATTGTCGCCGGCCTTTAAATTATTTATAATGGACGGTCAACTGAAAAAGCAAACCTCGTCTAAATGGCTTTAAACTGGCTCCAGGAACACCCAAACATCAAAATAACAAAACACTTGCACAATGTAAGTCAGTTTTAATTAGGTTCCGTCGAAAAGATAGCCTTAGAACGTATTTCGTGAGTTTCTCATACATTTGCTGAAAGATTTTGCATTTGCAGAGCCTGGGCTGCCTGTGGTAACGCCTGTTTCAAAAACAGCGCTTCTGCCGTGACCAATTCAGTTAGCAAATTGGGTTTGAGTTAAATTTGCAATCATAAAATGCGAGCGATTCGAATTAAATTCAACATATTTCTTGGCACGGCAGTGGTAAGAGTTTGTTTCCAACAGCGTGCCACAGAGAACCGAACTCAAATCATAATTTTAATTAACATTATAAAAAGGTCTCAAAGAACATCATTTCCACCAATGAACTTTTATTTTATAATTAGTCATTTTGTCATATAATATAGCTGATCTCTTAGCGTAAACTGTTCACGTTTTATCTTTAGTGAAAAGAAGTTTTACTCTACATAATCAGGGAAAATGAATTTTAGCTAAACTAGTTGTAGCTCAGTTTTTATTTTTTTTCTTCTTCTTTTACCAAGCAACAGTGAGCTGACAAGCAAGAATTTTGATTTATCATCACATTTTCTAAAAGTAGCATCAATTTCCAAATTCGAAAACAAAACTACGAAACGCATTCTTAAATTTCAATTTTTCAAACCTTTATATATATGAAATATTTACGTTTCTTTCTTAGAAATTCTGTTTTAGTTTGTTTTCATTTTTGAAGATTTTTTTGCATATGTAATGAATGTTTCTTGTAGCAGGTTGGTTCCCTAGGAACAACTAAGAACAAATACACTTTCTATTGCAAAATCCGTTTATTTGAGCAAGTTCGTATTTACTGTAATAATATTGCGACTTGTTTACGCGACATCTCCCAAAACGTATTCTCGGACCTTTCCGAACTTTATATAATATATTTTTTTCTTTTCGATTCCTGTTCTACTTTGTTTTAGCTAACCACTGAAGCTGTAAGGTCCCTTTGAAACGGCAAATCGTTTGTTCTGTCCAAAGTTTTAAATAATTTCATTATTAACCATGATGTGGGTAGACTGCAAAACAGTCTCTCTTTTTCTCGTGATATTGTGCGCGACGCGCGAATTGAGAGGCGCGAAGCGCCGATAATCCACGCGCGAGCCTCGTAAGAGGTAGTCTCCTACGCAGCCGTTATTTGTGGCGTCACGCAACGGTTGGGGAGAAGTGTTGCGTGACGACACAAATAACGGCTGCGTAGGAGACTACGTAAGAGGCGTATTTTCAGCGTCTCTCCCCAATCCCACTCGTAATTTTCACGCTCGTTCCAGATCCTTTTCGGGCCACGTTCAGCCCGACTCTTGCGCTAAAATACGGACTGTTTTGCAGTCTATGATGTGGGTGGCTGATGCGACTTGAAAGTCGTCTGTAAAAAATTGGTTCATTTATAACAATTAAAATTTTGGCCATTTGTGAGTTGTTATAGTAGAGACGTTGAGATCATGATACAATTTGTCGGATAATTAAATTTTGGCCCACTTGTTTCCGTTTATTTGAAATACTCAATTACCGTGAAGATCCCAAAGTAACGATCCCCCGAAAGTAGCGCCAGTAGTTAAAGGAGTAAATCTAATACACGAGTGAACCAGACAAGAATATGGCTGACAGGGTGGGCCATGCGCATGACGAAACTAACAAAGTACCGCTGACCGGTACTGGCGTAGCGATAAAATTAAACGGTTGTTACTAAATCCCGAAAATAGCGCGCATGTTTTCACATTTTTAACGATTGTATTTGGTTGGATCGGTCCATAAAGGTAAACTATACGTGTTTTAAGCTATCAGAAAGTAACGACCTCACCACCGAAAGTAACGACCTCCCCAAAATGGCGATCCCCTGAAAGTAGCGACCCCCTGAAAATAGCGACCCCCGAAGTAGCGACCCCCGAAAGTAGCGTCCCCCAAAGTAGCGTCCCCCAAAGTAGCGACCCTCTTAAAGATATGAAAACGCTGCTAAATCCGTAACTAACGAGGGTAGTTACATTTCAGAACTTTGCGGTATTACGCCACCTTATGGCTACTTTGCTCTGTAGGAATGGGATATCGAGCTCTTCGGATCTCCCGTACACGTCTCGTAAACATCCTCCTCCTTGGTGTTGCTATAACAACCGTGCATATCACGTGGAGAATATACCATTTGAGCGCAAACACTAAACCCATATTAGGACTAAACGAAAGCGACATCAGGGATTTCCACCAGCAGTGGTGTAGAATGCAGAGATGGCGTGTAGACTGGGAACGAATGGCCAAACCTTGCGAGGGTCAAATAGCCTGGGACCAAAGAAAAGTAAACTCGGAGTGGAGGACTGATGCGAGGAGAAGTTTTATCACCAAATGGGAGATACTACCAGCAGGTAAAATAACGAGAATAAAAGACCCTTCAGCTATTCTCAGCCGCGGTGGCCCAATGGTTAGCGCGTTAGATTCCCGATCGAGCGGTCCTGGTTCGAGGGCTGGCCGGGGTCATTGTTTTGCATTGTGTTTTCGGTAAAGGCACTTTGCTCTCGCACCAAGGAGTATAAATGGTTACCGGTGAACTGTTAGGGTAGCCTGACAAAATGCTGGCAGGTAACTGACCTGCGATGGACTAGCATCCCATCCAGGGAGAGTAGCAATACTCCAAGTCGGACTTCATGCTACAGAAACCGGGATAAGCTCCGGCAGCCGTGGGCCACTTTGACCTAGGGTTAGGATTAGGGTTAGGGTTAGGGTTAGGGTTAGGGTTAGGGTTAAGAAGACTACCCAGCAGCTTTCCAGATCAACGAAAAATTATAACATATAATAACATCTTAAGGTCCGATTAAACGGTCTCAACATTTGTCGAGAGCCGATGTTGAGGCCGTTTGACACCCCCTTTGTCTCAACATCTTCTCGACATTTCTTTTGTTCTGGAAATGTTGGAGCCGTTTGACACGCAATGGTCTCAACATGACTCAACAAATGTTGAGATAATGTTGAGACCGTTTGACCGGGCCTTTATTACGCGATCGTAATAAAGACGCACATACTGACTCGATATCAAAATACGTCTCTAATATTATAAATAAAGAGACCAAAGTAAATTTCAATTATAGTAATCCTTTTGTAAATGAGGACAATTAAATATCATGCCTAATAAAAGATAACACGGCTGAAAATCTTCAAATTTTTAACTACACAAAATTTGAAAAAATAAATTAAAAATATTTTCCCCGGTCATTTTATTTATTAGGTCACTTCAGTCGTTTCTTGATCCAGTCCGTTACAAGGAATGGTGTCCTTAAAACGTCTGGTGGGGACGCCTGGCGAGTGTACATCAGACAAGGCCCAGCATCCCTCGCGCCGCAAGTGTGGGACCATAACAATGGAATTTACGAAGTAGTGTTCTTGGTAATGGAGCCTGGGAACTACTCTGCTCAGATTACCCTGGATTTCACTCTGTGTGACGGTCTAAGAGAACCGCCAGTGGATTGGTTCATCATAGGTGAGGAACTAAAAGTGTTTCTACCAAGCTTAAAGGGAGTACTAGTGTTTCTTAGCATGAAGGATTTATTCTGGTGGCTGTCACGGCGCGCATGCGTATAGCTGTGAATTCATCCCTTTAAGTTGAATACTGACTGACCACGAAATTTTCACAGGCAAATTTCCCGCCCGAGTTATCTACTCGCTTCCGATTGGTTCATAAACACTGAAAATAAATGGGCTTACTTCATATTTATACATTCAGCTACTCTGTAAACCGAGGGTAAATAAACATGATGTATGTTGATGTATAGCGTGCACATGCGCCGAACCGTAAAACACTCCCTTTAACATTACCATTATTTATTTCCACACATACTGATCTCGCACATCGACAAAACTAATCGGGATAGCCTCCTCGCAGGCTTCCTTTTGGCTCGTCACGCAATCTCTCCTCCCCAACGAAGGAAAGGTTGCGTGACGAGCAAAAAGAAAGTCTGCAAGGGGACGTTTATCGCACAAGTCTCCTGTAGCTCAGTCAGGTAGAGTGTTCGACCAATGTGCGGAAGGTCATAGGTTCAACTCCTGTTGCGAAAACTCTGAACTCTTTTTCCTACTAGAGTAGTTTATGTCACTGACTGATCTTTCTGATTATGTTTCTTTCAAGCTTGACATTTACCATCACTATAATTTATTTCCTTAGGCCAGCCATCCCCATAAAATGTTTCGTCTCCCATCGCCCTCTCTCTGGTGAAAAGTGAATCGGTTGCTCGGTTAAAAAAAGGGAAAAGCCGAGAAACGAAATATTGACAAATTAATTAATAAATAATTCCCAGCGTGCCTTGATTATATCTTCCCCGTGACCACCATTTTACAACGAGCCGATATATCACTCTAAGGGCCTCCACAGACTAGAGAGATTGTTGTCGACAACTAAATAGTTGTCGTGAAGCTAGTTGTCGATAACTAAGGCCCTTAGTTATCGATAACTAGCTTCACACATTGGACTTTTTGTTATCGACAACTTTTTATGATCGACAACTATTTAGTTGTCGACAGCTATCTCTCCAGTCTGTGGAGGCCCTAAGTGATATACAGTCTTTTTTATAATCTAATTTTCGAGCTGAGGCTGAACCAAAACCGAATGTTCTTATTTTTTGGCGATTTCAGCCTGGAAACGTTCTTAACATGTTCTTAAGTTACATGGTATAGAATTTCCCCGAAAAAGATTCGAACGTGAAACCCAGAAACTCAGCAGTAAACCTGTATAAAGCGGACCAAAACACAGCCTAAGCGGTTTTATACATGTTTGCCATATCATGTTGTTACTATAAAAAATGTGCATTCAAGTATTTTGAGCTCATTTGAACTGCGTATCAACTGAGATATTTGAAATGTTACATTTTGTTAATGTTTTGAAAGGATACTGGAATATTGTATTTAGAGCTCGATGCAAGAAACAAGTGAAGAAAAATGTTCTTAGCTAAGGGCCTCCACAGACTAGAGAGATAGTTGTCGACAACTATTTATTTGTCGATCATAAAATGTTGTCGATAACAAAAAAAAGCCAGTGTGTGAAGCTAGTTGTCGATAACTAAGGGCCTTAGTTATCGACAACTAGCTTCACATACTGGCTTTTTTGTTATCGACAACTTTTTATGATCGACAACTAAATAGTTGTCGACAACTATCTCTCTAGTCTGTGGAGGCCCTAAGTCTCAACCTGGTTATGTTCTTAGCATGTTCTTAAAATTTTGGTCAATCTTATAAAAAAGGTTCTTATAAAAAAAAATTTAAAAAAAGAGTGTAGCATAGCCATAAGAAATAATTCACAACGGGCAAATTTCAACTGGGATATGAACAAACTCCATTTTGTATCCTTATCACTAAAATGATATTCAAATAGAACCAGGAGCGATTATTGTCATCTATTGACATGTCTTGAAACTGAGTTTTAACAGAGATAGTCACAATACAGACGAATAAGAAAGATTTTCATTGGGTTCAATCCGAAAAAATATTTCTGGCTTAGAACTGTTCTTTAGCCTGGGACGACTTTGGTTTGGATTAATTCGTTGCCAGATCGATCAACACAACACAAGGAACCTGGGATACACGGACGTTGTTCATGTAGTTATTATTATTATTATTTTTTGAATTTTATTTATTTTAATTTTCTCAGTGTTGTATATACATTTTGTGATTTAGCTCCTATCATACAAATTAACGCAATGACTTGTTAACTGATATTAAAGGAATCTTAATTAGCATCAGTAAAGCTATGTAATCCTAACTGCTCAGTAGTAAAATGTTTGTCACGGGTGGCTCAAGTAATAAAATTGGTCAAAATTGTATATCCATACTCATGACATGAACAATACAATGAAAAAGAAGAATCATTAACTAGATCATCTTCAGAATATACCACCTAAAGTCAGGAATTGATCGCATCAACAAAATCTCCGTCCCAAATACGCCTTGTTTTCTGCACAAATTATTTACAATGAAGACAGAGAAAATCGCGATGCCATGCGGTAAATTCTCAGTGCTTGTATCACGTTATCTTAATAAACTATGTCTCCAGTCAAACGTAAGTTTTTCATCTCCAACTAAGTTAGTAAATACGCGTGGTATTTGACCCGCTATGCACAGAAAACTGCGCGAACACAGGAGTGCGTACCAGTTTTCCGGCCGAAACAAGCCCCTGAAAAAGAAAAAGAAAAAACAACATGTGGGGAGCCAAATGGCCGAACACAGCCACAGGAAAATTTCTGGATTTGGCCTCCCCTGACCAAATTCGTATGCTTTCGCTTTCGTTGAATGCAGTTAAAGTTCAGACAAAGTTGCTGTTTTGCTGCTCGCATAAAGGTAATGCGTGATGGATGGCGCATTTTTAACGTTCGTCCGTAATCCTACTCTGAATCTGCCCCGGCAATCTGAACAAACCTTGTTCCTTTTTGTCATATTATTATGTCTTTGATTATTACCCTTTTGGTGTTTTACTTCCTTAGTAATTTTCGATTTGAAGGTAATTTTGGATATTGCAAAAATATCTGAATATATCATGGTATTAGTAGCTACTTTGAATCTGATAATAATTTCACGCTATTTGTACACTGTTTGTCAATTTGCAACTTTACTTCGATCTACCGCATAGCGCTAAATTTTTGCCGCTTTACTTCAATCTATACAGCTTAAGTTTTAGAAGCAGCTAAGCTGTCTGATCGTGTTCTTCACTTGTTGTCTTACTTCTCTGATCTTCAAGCAGTACAGGATCGGGTTTAGAGATGAGTTGAAGTACAGTAGAGTTTCTGTAGCTAACCAAGCCACGTCGTTGTTTATTCCATTCACAGAAAGCACAGCCGCAATACTAATGGGAAGATAGCAGACTACTAATGCTTTTTGAACCCACAAAATGCTAGAAACTGTCTTTTTGTATCTTGCAATGTTCAGCGGAATCCCTCCTCCGTTCGGTTGTCCTTGGACATGGTTTTGTAGTTGGGCTTGTTGATGTCGTAGTGTCAGATGGATCTTCGTGTAAGAGAAGATCGAAGTTACCAGCGAAAGTATTATAACAACACAGCTATACGTCAATGCAATATCTCTTCTCCATGCCCGGAACCCTCCACTTAAAGCACCAATAAACCAAAAATAAATTATAACTACCCAAACTCGCCTTAATGTCACGACATGTCTGTATCTTAGCCCCAACAACAGGGCGAGAAGTCTGTCCACACTTATTGCGGTCGACGTCAAGATGGATACTTCACACAAAATCGTACTTGAAGTTTCAAAAACGATGTAAACATAGTATAAAACATTCACGTTCATCTGTGTTATACTAGACACAATCATGGTTGCAAAGAGTGGTTGTGCAATAAAACCAACACAAAGATCAGTGACCGCCAGGCATCGAAATAACAGTTTTGTTGGAGGATAAATAGAAGATTCTCTATGAAGAGCAATGAGTGCTAGAACATTGCCCAGAGATGCAATGATGGAAAGAAAAATGTTCAAGGCTGTAAAAAATTCAACTATGCCTGCTGGTAATGCGCTGAATACTAGTGTACTCAAATAGTTTCCTTCTCCAGTAACGGTCGCCATTGTTCTTGGGTGGGCAGAAAATTAAGCTTTCAGCTTTATCAGTGGGATGATGATTTTATATGCCGCTAATAACAAGCCCAGTTGTGCTTCATAACTGCTTTTACTGGTTGTCTATTAATTTTTAATGTCCCTGCACTGTTTAACCACTAGTGAGGGTAAAAGAATCAGACTTTTAAATTTTACTTGGTTGTCATTCTCTAGAACTTATGAAGACACATTATTAGTTATGTTAATTAGCACTCACGAATATTAACTCGCTTACCAATAAGAGATTATGCTATGCTTTCAGGCCTTCCTGTTAGATTACGAATTAATTGAAAACAAAAAGCTGTAAAGACCAAAGGAATAGCATCGGTCACATATATCTGATTTTTAACACAAAAATAAAGGTTTAGGAACGGGTGCATTTCAAGTCCGGGGATTTCAAGTTTTGGCTTATTTATGGGCAAAGTTTATTGAGTCTATCGATTCATATAACAGCTGTAAACAGTTTGTTATCTTTTAGCAATTAAAATACACCTAGTTTTTCAAATCGCACACGTAGCACATCGAGCTTGATTATTAAAAATCCTTCAAAATTGTGACTAAATTGTCAAAGGTAGTGCATCCGATGTCATTGAACTAGCGTGACGTCCGTATTGGGGAAATATTAGGCTGAATTTCAGCTGTCTCCTCTGTAGTACGCGACAGAGGAGAAGGCTGAAATTCAGGCTAGGGAAATATTAGTCGCCCCACCCCTCTCCCCGAGGGCTTATAGAGCTTTTTCGGTATTTCTAGTTTTGGTTCTTCGCATCAGTTGAAAATCTGCGTCCAAAATAAACATCGATGGAAGGGTGGTGAGGTGCTAATATACTATTCCTTTCAAAATTTGCATTATAAATGCAGTATTTATCTCACCAAACGTACTAATCAGCCAACATAGTGACATTTGTTCACCATCTGGAGGAATAATTTTAACGAAAACACTTGCAACGGAAGTAAACTTGAAAAAATGGAAGCTATGTTTTACTTTTCAGAATACATGTAAGCATATTAAACTTGGAAACACCCGAGAAAAGGGCGCAGACAATGAACCAGAAACTTGTTTTTACTTTTTGAAAAAATTGGGTCGGTCAGGCGATGGGAAACGAAATATTTTTGTGGGGATGGCCTTACAAGAGATTTGCAGAAGATTTATATTGGTAGCTGAATTGCAGGGAAGAAGCTTCAGTACCTAAAAAATAATCATACCCATTGTACTCATGATGAGTTATTCAAATAAGGGCGGGATCCTATACTCAAGAGGCGTGGTGGTTATACATGTAAGTTTCACCATCATCCAGGGGAAGTAGTAATACTCCAAATACCATCAACAATTAGTAACATTAGTATTATGTGTAAATTTTTAACTAGAACGTCTTAAAAAATGTAAATAGTATTACTTAATTAATTTTTAATTAGTTCTAAAATAGTGTCCCCAATTAGTAGATTTCATTCTGCTATGTGTTTATTGACACTATAATAAAGTTCATTCATTCATTCCAGGGGGGGATATAAACTCCTTATAAATGGTTTGCATAATTACGGACATAGCGGTGCCGGGCAACCGAGTGTGCGCAGTAGCACTCAACTAGTTGCTAAGAGGATTGTCCCACGGGAACTTATTAACAATAAAAAAGCTTGTCAGGCAAGAAATTCAAACCTAAAATTAGTACGCATGATAACAAAAATGTGTTTTTCCTTGATTGTTTTCGCTCGAAAACGAAGACGTGTTTTTTTCGTTGTTGTCTGATTTCGCTTCGCCTCGTGTATTACGATAAACATTTTCATCCGACTGCGCTTCCCGTTCCAGTAGTAGAACTACTGACCGTATCCGAAAGACTCTTGCTGCAGCATGTAAGTGAAGCTTAGACGGATTTTTCGCTTCTTGCTTCACGCTGCCGAGATATTCGGCGGCATGAAAGATCAGGCCAAAAATCCGCTGTTTGCAGGCTACACGCGTACAGCTCTACGCTGCGAGCTTGAAAAAGTTTCCCGGGTTAGAAAACAATGAAGTTTTGGTGCACGTCATTCTTAGCAACGGCTTGATTGACACACGATTCGCACTGTTGGTCTGTTACCCGGCACCGCTATGTCCTCAAAGAAAAGTGCCGGCTTTCTATCTCCCACCTGATTCATTCATTCAAGAGTGAAAACCGGATTTAAGATCATGGTGCCCGACTCTCTCTCATAAAGCAAACTATATACTCCACTTAGTGAACAGGTATCGATTTAACGTTTATAACGCTTTACACACGCGATGATCAATACATTTCGTTCACAAATAGGAACAATCCAAGGAAAATACCAGCCTGATGGAATATTGGGATACATTGGAGATGACTATATACTGGAGCCTCTTGGAGGTCAAGCGAACTTCAGTTTCTCTGTACCGCAAAATGGCGACCGCACCGCAGATGCCTCTGTAATCCCATCCTGCTTTGTTCTCTCGAAAAGAAAAGGTAACAGTTGTTAACTATCGATCGATCTCAGTTCGAGCCTTAAAATATTAATTATGTGTACTAATCGCTACACATTACCTTTTATGTTAGTTCTGGGACATGAAGATTTCTCCTAGTTGATCATTTTCTTTATTCTCGTCACCTTAGCATTCTTCTTGGCAAGACTGGCGATGCATTTATATTTTAACTTGTTATTTAATCACGTTTGGGATAAAAGTGGAAATTCTTCTCAGCAAAAAGCTTTACCAAACAAAATTCGTGACTTGATGTTGCTAAAAACATAAAATAGATTTTGACAACTTTGTTATTGATCATTGAAAGAGAATGAGTTCTTCGCAGCTCCAATGAGATTCGAACCCATGACGATTCCGGTGCAAACGCTCTACCACTGAGCTATGACGCCACTAAGAGCTGGTCAATTGCGAGTTCTATTTGTACCCGTCAAGTGATGAAATGGCGATGATAAATATATGATTTTTGCAGGCCTTTTTAACTGCTTAAGTTGAAATATAACTGCGAAGATCTCATTCTCTTTCGTTATTTCCACCGCAGTTCACATATATGACATATATGAATTGTTGGAAATGAAAATGTTAATGTCAAACAGATTATTAATTGTAGCTGCAATTATTAATCTTCAGCTTATGCTTCAATTTCTTTGAACAATAACCCATTTTTGACTAATTAAACTGGTCCAAGTTAACCGAGATTGTACATTCCACATTCCGATACATTGATTATCCTTCAGAGAATGCAACAATGACTTGTGGGATTACTTGCAACCTGTTACTGAATGGATTTGGTAGATGGGTCAGCGGCATGTGGCGGCCGTATGTTCAGGGTAAGATACTTGTACCATACATACATTTTTTTAAATAACAAGTCTTGAACAGTTGCAAAATAAATTTCCTTATTAATTACGGAGATTTGGCATTGAATCATACTGGTTAAAACGTGACTCGTTTCAACAGCCATTTGAAGTGAAGACATGGTCAGTGTCCAGATCTCCAACGGTCAGGATGGGATCTTGGTCCAAGATTAGAAACGCGGTATCCATGCCCTAGTTTTGTATTTACAATGTTATTACCGTTCAAGTTATTTGCAGCCACATTTTGTTCAACTGATGCTTCAGTATCAGCTGTAGTTAAGCAAAAACTGGTTTGTCTGAATAATAAAAGCCTCCCCCACTCACCCTACCTCATCTTCCCGTATCCCACTTTAGATCCTTCATTATTAAATTCATGCATCTTGCCAAGTGTCATGTTAAATGGGGCAAAATTCACTACCAGATCGCTGAAACCTTGTAACGAGTTCGCAACTATATCATCTTATTTTATTCTCAGATCACGATTTAACAATAGTAAAAGAAAAGCCAGTTACACCAGCAAATACTCTGTGGATATATGGCGATTCTGTGGGTCAAAATTTCTTAAAGTCACTTAGATCGCGAGGAATATGTAAAAAACATTTTCAAACGTGCACAAGTTCATATATGTGGATATACAAGGTATGGATTAACATACTCGTCGCTTGACAACATCTGTGTTATCTTCATCAATCTTTCCTTATCTCTTATGTCAGGCTTACAACAGATTCATCGGACCGTCGATAAAATTAACTGTTCATTGAACAGTTGTTTATTCACTCATTTTCCAGTCAGTCAGTCATCCAGCTAGTCAGACGGTCAGTCAGTCAGCCAGCAGTCCGTCAGCCAGCCAGCCTGTCAGTCAGTCAGTCAGTCAGTCAGTCAGCAAGAAAGCCAGCCAGCCAGCCAGCCAGTCAGCCAGTCAGCCAGTCAGCCAGTCAGCCAGTCAGCCAGTCAGCCAGTCAGCCAGTCAGCCAGCCAGTCAGCCCGCCAGCCAGTCAGTCAGTCAGTCAGTCAGTCCAGCAGTCAGCCAGTCAGACCGGCAGCCAGTCGGTCGGTCAGCCAGTGAGCCAGGCAGTGTCAGTCAGACAGCCAGCCATGCAGCAAGCCAGCCAGTCAGTTAGTGGTCAGTTAGTTAGTTAGTTAGTTAGTTAGTTAGTTAGTTAGTTAGTTAGTCAGTCAGTCAGTCAGTCAGTCAGTCAGTCTCGAGTCAGTCAGTATTGGATCAGTGTTATGTCAGTCAGTTTTTGTCTTTAGCGAATCAATAGTGAGATAAACAATCTCCTTTAATTATGAGTTCTTGTTATTCTCCTGGCAATTTTCATTTTACCAAACTGTCATGTTACGTTTCCTTTCATAATGTTAACGAAAATGAATGAAATCATCTCAGTGGAGTAGTGATCTCGTTCTCAGAGTCTTCAGACTCCTCGGTCAGTGGTGGTTACCGGGAGACCAACCGCTCACCGAGGAGTCTGAAGACTCTTAGTCATATGATTTATTACATGGTCATTCGAGCGTCAGCAGTACATTGAAACAATTGTCGACAATTGAAACGTCTGTTTATAAAAATATTTTAAAACAAACACCTTTCTCTTTATTAATTTCTCAGCTAACAAGCGTAGACGAAGCAAAGACAAAATTTGAACCAAACGACTTTAATGAGACAACTCTCCTCCAACACATGAACGAGATACTTGACTCACCGGATATGAGGACACAAAACAGTGTATTTCTGTTCAACCTTGGCGTCCATTATTCTGTGTCGCTCAATTTTACAACTTACAAAGACCTTATAGACAATGTGGTGAAACTCATAAAGAGCAAGAGCAAGGAAAATGGAAACATGGCAATGCCCATTTGGAAGACGACAACGTCCATAGAAAAAGAAATGGCGCACAAAATGTTTGCAGAACTTCCCAGGAACAAAACCCACTGGCGATTCCACACTCATCAGGTACGTATGATGTCACAAATGATGAAGTTTATTTTTCAGTTGATTTAAAGTATTACATAAAGATAAGGTAAAATCTTCACGAGCCTAAAGGCCCACAACTGCCGGAGCTTTCCCCGGTTATGTAGCATGAGAAGACGAGGTTACCCCACAGTGATTTTGTCGCCGATACCCATTTATACTACTGGTGGAGAGAGGCACTGTGAGAGTAAAGCATATTGCCAAAGAACACAACACAGTGGCCCCAGCCAGGGCTCGAAACGGACGGCTCGGTCTGGAGTCCAGCACGCTAACTATTAGGCCAACGCATCTCCCACAATGTAAACGTAAATTACACACAGCTAGAATATATTAACCATGTCAAATGAATGTTCACCTTGGAATTAATAACTAAGGTGCGATCGACTGCATGGTCAGCATCTGATCTCTTCTCCTAATATTAATCCATAATCATGCCTATGTTTATCATTCTTAGGACAAAATGCAACTGAACTCGAGCGTAAGATAACATGCGCCCTACTGAAACTGAGACATGAGAAAATTCTACTCCTTGCACATCTCTGCTTTAGTATTATATTCCATATTATTTATGCGCCATACATCATTAATTCTGTGGTATGCTTTTCTTCTCCTCACCCAGAGGCTGGAGTTGTTCCACAAGTACGCGGTTAGCTCCATGTGCAAGGCTGGTATCCCTGTGTTGGACGTGTATCCCATGACCGCCTCGTACCCTAACGGTACAATAGATCACGTGCACTACAGCGGCAATGTACAGAGAGCAGCAGAGGATCAGCTGATAACATTCGTCATGGAGGAAATGAAGAAAAAACGAGCGACTGAAGAATAGTTAGCGACAGGTTTAGAGTGGGGACCTTTGTTTCGTGAACCTCTTTTTAAACGTTATATCATCAAAAGCTCCAATCCGGAACAAATTGCAAGAAAGTTGATTTTTTTTTTTCCTTCTCTCTTTTCCTTTCCTTTTACTCCCCTTTTTTCTTGCTATCTTCGACGCTTGATACACTTCCTATCAGCTGGAAAGGTATTGACCTAACCTTTTAAGGGAGCTGAAAATTGAATCTGGAAGTATGTTGGGTGTGAGAGCCAAATTTGCCACTGATTTTTCAACAAAAATTGAAAAGGTTTTTCCAGCATAACTCTAGAAGAATTTGTCAGATTTCCAAAATCGATGCACGGTTACAAAGATCCATCCTTTCTGCATCAGATGCATGTCAAGTGTTAATTGATGACGGTACAATGACTTTGATGTGTAAGACTCCAAAGCACGCTTATATGCGTAGTTGGTACCTTAAGTTTTAATAAGAACGAACATAGTAATTATAAATACGCGTCACAGCATTAGTACAGTTCTGTTCTTGTTAGTATTCTGGCGGCAATGTTCAGTGTAACGTTCGCTATCAATCAAAAAAGTACTCTATGATAATTCTTATGAGCTTGGTAAATTGTGAACTCTATATCTACCTGACGAAAATGCTGGGTTTACAACCAGGATAGTAGCAATACTCCTAAGAACCAGAGCTCTGGTAAGCCATATAGGCTTGTTTAACTCATATTATTATTGTGTGTAATACCACACGACAGTCACGGTGACCAAATCGAAAGTTCCTTACTTCCTGGCCAATGTTCATGTAAACTTTCAATAATTAGAATTTCTGTAGATACTAAGTATAAAGTGAAAATATATTGAATTGAATTCGTTGGATAGCCTATTCCAGGATATTCTTCGCCCACTAACCGAACACCTGGAACAGGCGAAGTGTGTCCGCATTATGGAGATATTATTACGACGGGTAGAATTAACATGAAATGTGGACTTCCTGGCCCAAGGGTACTCTCCTCCGATCAGTTGGGCTGTACTTTCCTCGCACACCACTTCTGTAAACAGTATTGAGGTCGTCAATTCCGCTATACTGTGTAAACAATTTGCTGTCTGGAAAGCAGTGCCACTTGTAGTAGCACCCTTCAGAGTTGTAACCAGATGAATAAAAAAATATTAAATATATATATTTTCTACACATTTGTCGATTTATCATTTCCGCCTTCCCCATTAAATTCTAATTCCTAGCCTTTTACAACTGTACAAGGGGTTTGATTCGGTTTAGTAAAATTATAGCTGAAGTGACAGCTAGAACTCACGAGTCCAAGGAAGTTTCGGGTCAACGTATCTGATTGCGCTCAACAATCCGGAACAGCGGCCCACCCGTTGCACCAGTTAAATGACAATCTGTGTGGTTTTTGTACACTCTAAGATGGACTGTTCTCGCGAAAAAGGGTTAATGTTGATGAAAACAAAGTAAAACAGCGCTTCAGCCATGAAATGTGTTTCGCAGGATATATCAATTTTCTTTGCCGTTTGCCATATATTATTTTAAATCTTAGCTGTGAGAATTCGATGGTGCATCAAGACAATATACATCTCTGGTTGATGATTTTCTTTATTCTCGCCACCTATCTGCTTGAAAATGTATTAATATTACCAGGAGAAGTTAGTTGTTGGTCACTCATGGAAATTAAGGGGACGAACGTTTTATACGTTTGGTATTAAAACAGAGTTGTTTTAGTTAGTTGA